TTCAAGTTGTAATAGGTTAGGTGGGTGAACTCCCCTAGTTTTGATTCTTCTACCTACTAAGCAATACTTCATGTTAAACGATAACCACGAGTTAGCCCTTCAATAAGTGTTGTTTAGCCTATTACAGAGGCCCTCTAAACGAGGCTAAAAACGAAATCATTGAAATTAACATTGTTGAGGATAAATTTAGGTGAATGGGATGTTTGTACTGTCAAACAACAAGCTTCGGATACAGTGGACTTCAATCTTTTTGTTAGTAAACTAGTTGGTGGATGATGATTGTCAGCCGGATATTCTTCCTCGAGTAGAAAGATTGCATTTGCATTACAGATGCCTTGTGGGACAAGTAATTCGCTTTGGTTGGGACTTGGGAGGAGGCAGAAAAGAAAAATTAATAATATTATTTAAATCATAGTCTTATATATATATACACCCCTTGTGATCAATTCAAAAAATGATAAAATCATGTTTGACCCTAATAGTATAGCTTCAGATTCAAAACATAAACATGTATTTCTACATTTTTCTGATGGGGTTAGGTTGAGTTTTGTTCACATAAGTATTAAATTCTGCTCCTTTTATAAATAATTGCAGGATGAGTTGCAGTTTGGAAATCGTTTTCATTCTAGAACTAGAACCATGTTCATATTGATTCAAATAATTACTAGTTTTTGTGCATCAAGAGTACCAGAATTATGTTTGGAAGGTTCCAAGGAATAAAACACAATCATATGTAGAGAAAGAAGTTTAATTGTGATAGTCGCATAGAATAAGGTTGTGTGAACAGCTCTATCATTTGTCAGGATTTGATTTCTGGGTCCATAATATCTGACATGTTCCAGACATGAGGGGAGAATATTATGTATTAAAATTTCATCAAAACCAAATTGTGCTTGCATGTAGAATTTTTGAAGGATCGGACTTGCTTTTTGTCAGTGTTCCAAGAAGCAATACTGTTCTCTTTCAATTCCAACCTGTCAAACCTCACCTTGAACCTCTTCCTGGAAAGTAAAATCATAGAGCTAATGGATATATGAAACTGTGAGCCAGGACCAAGGTATGATTTAGTAGTTGAAAACAAGTCTGACATGAAGTGTACATGTGTGACATCATGATGCTCCAAATGCGGTCGACAAGTTTTGTTGGCATGCGTTTTTGGACACATTTCTTTTAGTATCTATTTTGGCTATAAAACTTTGGAAAAATGCATATATACACTATGATGCTAAGTCCTTTGGAGAAATTCATGATTTGAAGAGGACTGATTTATCAGAGACATTCTGTTAGTTTGTTCCTTCTGTCAACTATATATTATTCCAACATCAAATTCTGCCCTCTCAATTTGGCAGAATATGAATTACCTGACAACTGAACTAAACTGGTCATAAGCCGCCTCGCTAGCTAGATGTTTGTCCTTTGGATGGGAGCTAAATAATCTGAGGTAGACAAGTCAAACAAGCCCTTCAACTCGCTTGCATCAGTCATTAGATCATATTGTAAACATAGTTTTCATTTTTCAAGTTTACAGTAAAGCGATTGATGAAGTTGTCATTCAGATCCTGTAATGATGCAAGACAGATCGGTTAGTTGGCAGTAAAATGAAATGAGAGGCTTTGGCATTGTCTTTAATCCAAAGACAGAATCCAAAGATTACAAGTATATATGTAAACTTAAGAACCACACAATTGTGCTAACAATGAGAATGCTACGTTTGAAAGCGAGAACTCACAGGCTAGCTATCTCCTTTTCGATTTCTGTTTTCCCTTTAGAAGGCCATACAAATGTACGTGCCATTGTGAAGCAAGCAACATCCCAAATTGATGGAAATTCAATCTTTTTTTGCCATGAACAGGAAGATGGATTTCTACCGTCTTATTGTCGGTGACTAGAGGCTATAATTCAAGTCAATCAAGTTATAAACATGATCAAGTATGGTATTAGCTTTGTCGAAAAGACATAATGATTCAATGTTTCTAGTGTGTAACCAAAGAAAAAAGAAACAGGGGTTTTCACAAAGATATTGTGTTGTGTTGACAGAATCTTATCTCTTTGTTCTTGCACTTTCCTTCAAGTCTACAAGTGGCAGATACATCAATTTAAGAAAATTTTGCAGACCAAACCCAACCAATTTCTTCAACCTTTTCTTTTTACCATGGATTTTCTTCAGGGTAAAAGCATCAATCTTGAAGATACATGGGTTTAGCTTAATTAATTAAAGACACCATACTTTTCTCTAGAACATACTACTTAATTATATTTCTCTACAAGAAAAAAGTAGACAATGCAGATGTGTGTATATATAATATGGGCACATGCTTTCCTTTTGGATGCATTATTAAAGCAAATTAAACTGCACACGAAAGTAATTAAAGTAAGCGCTTTCACTAAGACAAAATGCTTAATTTCTTTCTTGAAAATCTTTCGTGTACCTTTTCCGTGTCATAAAAAAATGAAAAACGAAGAAACTTCTCACTACACAGTTTGCTTTTTCCTAAACAAGATAACCAGAATTTGCAGCAGTCAATCAGTCATCGCTAAAAGCTGTAACTCACCCATTTACCATTTACCGTCCACGCGACGTTGACTTCCACTATCCCTGCCGTCAACTCTCCCAGCCCCATCAGGCCCATAAGTTTACTCCCACCCCTTATTCCAACATTATTTCATAAAAAAATAATATTATATTCTCTTTCATCCTTGAGATATATATATTCATTTATTTATTTATTCTTAAGGTCAAACAAATAATTTTAATTTTTTAAAGTAGTTTCCTTAACTTGTAATGTTAAGAGATTAATTATCATACAATAGTAGTAAAAGTTTGCATTAATATGCAAAAATCAACGTATCCAAATTGTAAACAAATAATTTTAAAAACATTATTCTATATTTTTACCAAAAATAATTATAAATAATTATATAACAATTCGGATCTAAATATTTTTAATTGTCACCGTTCACACTGCCCATCTCTCTTTGCTTTCTCTTACTTTCTGGCACATAAACTTCGGTCTCCAATTTCCGAAGAAACCAAAGCAAAGTAAAAACGCGTGAAGCCAAACATCAAAAGGCAGGAAGAAAATTTTAGGCTCCCAAACGAAATCATTCCTTAAGTGGTCACAGATTACTAGTAATAAAAATATAAATATAATTAAGCAATATAATTCTTTTTACAAAATCCAACATATAAATAAGTCTCTCTCCCCTGCCTCTGGCCCCTGCAAATATTGTCCTTTTCTTTCCTTTCTCTTCTCCTAGAGCTGCTCTACGCGTTCTTGTCTTTTCCCTCAGATTCCTTCCGCGTTTCCTCTCTCCCTCCTTCCTTTATATTCAGCTATTCTGTGTTTACTTTTGCTCCTTCAATAACTAAACCGTAATTTAGATTCCTTCTTATTTCCAATATTGTCATCACATTAACAAACAGCTAAGAATTGTACAAATAGTGTTGGCTCAATGAGAGGTGGTTCTTTACCGACACACGAGAGGCGGTGGGCCTCAGACACCGTACCCGCCAAAACGACTCTCAGTTCTACTACGTCGCCTGGGACTGAGTCTAACTCCGCAGAGGAGTTCGTCGAGGTCACCCTCGACCTCCAGGATGATGACACCATCATTCTCCGAAGCGTGGAGCCGGCCACCGTCATCAAGGTCGATGACGGTGCCGATACTCCTGTCTCCGCGTCAGCCTCGGCTCCACGATCCCCGACGATCAAGCGAAGCTCATCCAACAAACTGAGACAGTTATCACAAGAACTAAAAGCCGAAGCCGTCGCCAAAGCCAAGCAGTTCTCACAAGAGTTAAAAGCCGAACTACGCAAGTTTTCATGGGGCCACGGGCACGCACCTCAGACCGTAACCGGATTCGACTCGGCTTTAGCCGCTCGAGCTTTGAGAAAGCAGCGAGCTCAACTCGACAGGACTCGGTCCGGCGCTCAAAAAGCACTTCGCGGATTACGATTTATAAGTAACAATAAAACCAATGCATGGGAAGAAGTTCAAAACAATTTCAACAAACTCGCCAAAGACGGCTTTCTCTTTCGCTGCGATTTCGCACAATGCATAGGTTCATTTCGTTATTACAATCTTACATGCTTAATCTTGAATCTATCTTCTAACCATCAGTAACTTTTATTTTTTTTCATTTCTTTAAGGAATGAAAGACTCGAAGGAATTTGCATTGGAGATGTTCGATGCATTGAGTAGGCGAAGGAGATTAAAAGTCGAAAAAATTAGCAAAGACGAACTTTATGAATATTGGTCTCAAATCACCGATCAAAGTTTTGATTCTCGCCTCCAGATCTTCTTCGACATGTACGCATTATAAAACTATTAGTATTCGATTTTAATTAAAGTTTTATTGTTCATTAATTAATTCATTTTTAAATTAATTAAAACTTAAAGTTCACACCCTCTCTTTCTCAACTTTGTTTGAGATTCGCTCCATAATTTCGGAAACCAGTCGTGGTGATGCAATAAGAGAATTGGACAAAATCGTCTTTTTCGCAAATATGGAAATGATTAATATTTCAATTTCTTTTCTAAATCTTATATTATATCTTGTTTAATTTATGTTACAGGGTGGACAAGAATGAAGATGGTAGAATCACCGAGGCTGAAGTAAAAGAGGTAAAACTATTCTTTATCATATCCATAATTGAAGTTGGATTAGGCAGCCACGTTTATCTAATTTTGTAATCCAACATGCATAAATTAGCCATAAATATTGTCCCTTCTGCTACGTTAAAATTTTCTTTTCTTAAAATAAAAAAAAATTGTTAGGGCCGCCCTTTCGTAGTCAAAGGGAAGTAATTTAAAGTTTAAAGAGATTGATTTAAAACTTGATTACAGGGTGTCATTTGGGTTATTATAATCAACGTTAGGCAGGGATGGGTCACCTTAAATCACAAGAAATTCTTAAAACTAACTACTCCAATTTAATAAATGAATCATCTTAAACAAAAAAGCGACTTTAATTTTCTTTGGTCTCTGACGTTAACCATTTTTTGAAGCATCTTTTATGTGTAATCTACAATTGGACCGATGGCTCCTCTATTTTTTTCGGAGTTTCCTTCACCGTGATCATTTAATGGAAACTTTTTAGTGGGGTTGGTGGGGGCATTTTGGTCAATATATAATTATTATTTTATTGGTATTTCAATTATTTTTTTTTCGTCCTGGATAGATTATCATGTTGAGTGCTTCAGCGAACAAGCTATCAAGATTGAAGGAGCAGGCGGAAGAATACGCAGCTCTGATCATGGAAGAGTTGGATCCTGAAAGACTTGGATACATTGAGGTGGGTCCGTGATTTATGTGGTACAGTGGATATTTCCATGACCAAATGTTTCCTTCTTTGCTTTTTGCATGTTATTAAAAAAAAAGATATTCTAGAATTCAATAAACGAAACAAGTTGAGATAATTATACTATTTTTTTTTCCGGTAAGACTTCATTTTCAAATTAGGTTCGACAGTCACCTTTCAAAAATAAAAAATAAAAAAAAGGTTCGAGGCTCATAAATTAGTTTCGCTAAGATATACTTGGAGCGACATTGACTAGGATTTTTGAAATATTTATATATAAAAAAATTGTAATAGTTCTTAAATTGGATTTTTCATGCAAAGTCTATCGTTAGGCGAAAAATGATCAAATCTTCCAACAATCCGGTTCTGGTTTTGTTGAACCGTGACGAAGAAAGAAGGAACAAGTAAGAATAATGAGCTTTTACTAGAGACAGCTCAACTTATCTTATCTTGGTAAACGGTTACTAACATTTGAGGTCGTTGAACGGTTTTTAATACTTACTTTTTTAAGTCCGGGCGAAGTAGCTGGTGCTTGATGGAGGGAAAGAAATTGGATGAACAAGTTCTTTTCCGTAATAAATAGTATACCCAAAAATATAGTACTAGTCAGTATATTTTCCATTTTAATCTCTCAAATTGCTAATTTATCTAGTCAATAGTTACCACATTTAAATTTTCAGTTTCATGTGAGCAGTATATTTTTTCTTTTAATTGCATTATCTGCATGTGATAATTAAGTTATGTAAGGGCATAATCAAATCAACTTGTCAGGTCACTATCCGGTATCTGCCTTGAATTTAATAATTTTTTCTTCTTTTTTTAAATTTTGTATATTGATTTTTTCTTTTGTTTTACTTTTCAAAAGTTGTCAAGATTAAGCAAAGGGTATTGTCGTTATTTTGGTCATAGATTGAGGGGTTCCTGACCAACTCCATCCCATGATTGACCGTTGGAACTCATGGTCCTGCTAAATGGCGGACCTGACACAGTTGAGTTCCCATGTGAGCTTTGCTTTCGGGTTATTGCCCTCTCAAATACGCGTTCTCTTCACTCATTCGCGCATGCACGCGTCCTCCATTCTGCATCACTGATAGTGTAACGAGTTGACGGAATCAAAATAATCTTGTCCTTTGCATGACTAAATGTTTTTTTTATGATTTCATATTTTCATTGCCACAATTGCATGATTGGTGGGTGGTGACTGATGAAAAATGATGCAGCTATGGCAATTGGAGACACTTCTCTTGCAAAAGGACACGTATCTGAGCTATAGTCAAGCCCTAAGCTACACAAGCCAAGCCCTGAGCCAAAACTTGCAAGGATTAAGAAAGAAGAGCAGAATCAGAAGAATGAGCACTAAAGTTTTATACTATTTGGAAGAAAATTGGAAAAGGATATGGGTCGTGTCATTGTGGATTATGATTATGATAGGGCTCTTTACTTGGAAGTTCTTTCAATATAAGCAGAAGAGTTCTTTCCAGGTTATGGGTTACTGTCTCCTCACAGCCAAGGGAGCAGCTGAGACCCTGAAGTTTAACATGGCTCTTATCCTCTTGCCCGTGTGCAGAAACACCATTACTTGGCTCAGGTCCACCAAGCTGGGTCTCTTTGTACCTTTTGACGATAATATCAACTTTCACAAGGTGTGTATACCAACCCTTGGTTCTCTATTTTTTGTGCTTCTCCTTCACGTTTATCCTCTGGTCCCGGGTGGGGACTAAATGATAGAAGTCAATATGATTGGTTAATTTCAGCCATCAAAGACAATAATAGATCGTTACTTGAGTCTTTCGCTTGCCCTTGCCCTAAAAACAGTGATGTCTACGTAGTACATATGTGGGAGGCATTATATGTTCCGGCAGCAATAGTTGACAGCCAAACAGATCTCTCTCTCTTTGGTAAAGAAATTTGGCGTACTCTACATAAAATTAATTCATTTTAGTTTTAATAATTTTTAGCTGAGACAAAAGCATTGACTTGTACAAACAAACAATGGTTTTTTTTTTGCTTGACTGACAATCTAAGATAGAACAAAAAACAATTCGTTGAAATTAGGAGATAAATATGGGGAGGTAAAAACTTGTGACCGTGCAGCTGCTACCGAACAAAGGCTCCATACATATATATATATATAGTGTAGCCAGGATCTGGGTTCGGTTAAATGCTTCTCTAAATTGCAAAAACCTGCATTTGCATAACTCTACTCTCCTTACCTATGGGAAAGAAAATCTCCGTGTTATCTGGGTCAGTTTTCCATTCTCTTTCCTATCTCAATTTTCCCTTCAAGATCAAGTCATCAAAATTTTAAAAAAGAAGAAAACGGAGAGATAGAAACAAGGCATGCGTTGCATTTAATTAAAGCATAGTTTCCAGGTAGGCTTACTTATGCCAGCTAGATGAGATTAGCAGGCAATAGATGCTTTAGTGAAGAGTTAAAAAGACAAATTCACCAATTAATGATTTTGAATCTGGTCCTCGAGATAGCCAATAATATGCCTTTTAGTCCCAGTGGAAGATTCTCCCATGTCCCAGCTCCCAACTACTTGACTTTTTAGGAGTTAGACGTGGACGGTTTCTTATAACTTGCTAGATTGACAAAACTACCCTTATCAGCTCTTTGGCACTGGATCGTGCATGCTTTGTTGTATTATGGTTATGAAATAGTTACTTAATTCATCGGTTGCATCACTTCTCCTGTAAGAAGAATTTCTACTGAAGGTCATAAAATGGTAGCTGCGAAGGTTATGCAGAATGTAATTTATGATGCACTTGGTGTATATATATATATATATATATATATATCAGGTTGGCAGAGTTAGAGGGCAGGTATAAGATTTGAATGGCACTGACTTGATTTAAATCAAGGAATTAACCATGTTCTTCAGTTAAAAACAATTCAAACATTTGCAAATATACTTGTTATTGATGTCGGATTTTATCAAAGTTTTAAAATTGTTCATGATTCCCATCTAGTTAGATCTTTATTAATGATCACTCTTCACTTCATTGAATGAGTGCAGACAATAGCTGCAGCGATTGTAATTGGAGTCATTCTTCATGCCGGTAACCATCTTGCCTGCGATTTTCCGAAGCTTATCAATTCTTCTGCTGAAGACTATAAGGACTTTCTAATCCATGACTTCGGAAGTCATAAGCCAACGTATATAGACCTGATAAAAGGGGCTGAGGGCGTGACTGGAATTCTAATGGTCATCTGCATGACAATTGCATTTACGCTAGCAACAAAATGGTTTAGGCGGAACCTGATTAAGCTGCCCAAGCCCTTTGATAGAATCACTGGCTTCAATGCTTTTTGGTACTCACATCACCTGTTTGTGATTGTCTACGTCTTGCTCATCATCCACGGCGTTTTCCTTTATCTTGTGCACATATGGTACCGTAAGACGGTATATATTTATGTCTTCATCTTTTCTCAAGTGATTGGAGAAATTATAAATGCAAGATTTTATTGTACTTAAGTAACTATAACTGTAGTTTAAGGTATGGAATTCCTGGTTGCAGACTTGGATGTACCTAGCTGTTCCAGTTTTCTTATATGCTGGAGAAAGGATCCTGAGATTCTTCCGTTCTGGTTCCTATACTGTCCGGATTTTGAAGGTGAGCATAACTCTGTCAACTATGATTCAGCATAGACAACACGTTCCATATTTAATTAAGAACTGCTGAAAGCAAAAGGGATGGAGAAAAGTTCAAAGAGACGAATTGATTGGGAATTATCTCCTGAACAGTGAGGCTGATCAATTTACTGAATTTGCTTCTCTATCTGATCTTTTTCATACGAGCTATTATGACTGATGATCTTCCTGTTTCTGCATTCTGAATATATAGGTTGCTATTTATCCGGGAGGTGTTCTCACATTACAAATGTCTAAGCCACCTCAATTTCGGTATAAGAGTGGACAGTACATGTTTGTGCAGTGCCCTGCTGTCTCTCCCTTTGAATGGTAAGTAAGCAATCTAAAGCATATATGTTTTAGGGATGATTTTCAGCTGTTTCACTTCCTTTGGTGCTAATTAATTGTTTTGAGAATTTCCAGCATAATATCTTCAGAGATAAATCCACAGTAAAGAGGATGAAAATGGACATTAGTTAGATCAGAAGCACATTCAATTTGCTGTCAACAATTGCACTTTTATATGAATAGAACCAGGTTCATCATATTTGATTGGTTCGTAGTAAGATGAGAGTTTAAAATACTAAAAAGTGTCAATAGTTGCAATAAAAAATCAGTATTGAGATAGGGGTGGTTTGCAGTCAAGAGAGCAGGTGTGTACCTTTAGCATTATGCCAGTTTTCTCTCAACTCATGAGCATTTCTCTTTTATGAAACAGGCATCCATTTTCCATCACCTCTGCTCCTGGTGATGATTACCTTAGTGTTCATATCCGTCAACTAGGTGACTGGACCCAAGAGCTCAGACGGCTGTTCTCAGAGGTTTGTGAACCTCCTGTAGCTGGGAAAAGTGGGCTTCTTAGGGCTGATGAGACGACTAAGAGAAGGTATATCTATTTTTCTCCCGTTAATATGTTTGACATTTCTCTCGTCTTAGAAGGTTTAAACTTTTAGGAATTATTGAGTAAATTTTGGTGATCCTTAATATTTTTGTCTAAGAACAGTTTGCCGAAGCTCTTAATAGATGGGCCGTATGGTGCCCCTGCACAAGACTATCACAAGTATGATGTCCTGTTACTCGTGGGGCTTGGAATTGGTGCAACACCATTCATCAGCATTTTAAAAGATCTGCTTAACAACATTGTCAAAATGGAGGAGCAGGCAGTAAGTAACTCATGCTAAGTAATGAATCTGCTTTTCTTGTTGTTTCTTTGGTTAAATTATTGGTTGTTTCCCTATCAGATTCATGACATGCTTCTTCATTTTTAGGATTCGGTCTCAGATACCAGTAGGACATCGGACATAAGTATCGGGAGCAATGATTCAACCACTCCTAACAGAGTTTCACCAAAGCGAAAGAAAACTCTTAAGACGACCAATGCTTATTTCTATTGGGTAACCAGGGAGCAAGGTTCATTTGATTGGTTCAAAGGGGTCATGAATGAAGTTGCAGAACTTGATCAAAGGGTACGAGAACTCATCAACTTAAAAACATTTAATAATTTCCTTTTAAATACCTTAACTGTTAATTCTAACTTGTCATTTTAAACTCTAGGGTGTCATTGAAATGCACAACTATTTAACTAGCGTGTACGAGGAAGGAGATGCACGTTCAGCTCTCATCACCATGGTCCAAGCATTAAATCATGCCAAGAATGGAGTTGACATCGTTTCCGGCACCAGGGTAAGATCTGTTTTGTCTGTCATTTTCATTCCCTTAGCATATTCCACTGCATGATTGTCTTTTAGGATTCTGAAAATTCCATCCAAAATCTTGGTGATGACACTCTGCAATCTGTCTCTGTCACAAATTCCTCCTGCAGCAGATATCAAGTGTGGCTCCCATGCATTAACAACAGCATGGCTGTTAGTAATTTTTTAAACATAATAATAATAATAATAATAATAATAATTCCTCTTTGCCATTATCAGGTGCGGACCCATTTTGCAAGGCCTAAATGGAAGAACGTTCTCTCTAAACTAAGTTCTAAGCACTGCAACGCAAGGATAGGTGAGCCCCAGTTCTGTACCTAAGCATAATTAAAACAAGTAGCAATCTTCTGTGTCTTCTAATATTGTTGTTGTGGTTTTAATGTGGTGGAGCAGGAGTCTTTTACTGCGGGGCACCGGTTTTGGCTAAAGAACTCAGCAAACTCTGCTATGAGTTCAACCAAAAAGGTTCCACTAAATTTGAATTCCACAAGGAGCATTTCTAAGAGATTACCGTGGGGAGTAAATAGAATTACTAAATGTTTATTCTCCCTTCACCATTCATAGCCCAATCTCCTTGCTTTACCTAGAGAATAAGAATTTTTGCAATAAGCCAAGAAAGCACGAGTCACTGTACAGTCTTAGAATAGAAAAGGAGAAGAAAAGAAAGAAGAAAAGAAGAAGAAGAAGAAGAAGAAGCAAAGATACTATTTCATTAGGACTATCGTTGTATACCCACAAAAAAAGAGTGGGGAAACGGCTTGGAATTCTAAGGTGAATCTTTCATTGCACACGTGGCGTAAGTAGGGATAGAAACATGGCAGGTGATCCCAGAATGAAAAGTTAGGCCAGCAAGAAGAGTGGTGAGTGCGGTACAGCTGCAACGGAGAGGGTCCGAGGCTGGTGAAACGATAAAGCCAGGCAATGATTGGTAGACATTCATAGGTGGATTTAGGAGGAAGACAATTTTGAAAAGCAGATGCTTGAGGGAAGTGACGGGGTGGCGTGGGATTTGGAAATTCGGAATGGATTCGTCTTTTTGACCTTTTCCAAAGTTTCGTCGGGGGAATCCTTCTAGAATGTCGATGCTGATAAGTATGTCAAGCTACTACTATTACATTATTATTATTATTCATTATTTCAGATTACAATAAGGATCAGGTGTAGATGATGATGATGGTTTACAGTTTTTTGTAAGTTAATTTTGCTAGCTTTATCGCCATCTAAATACATATTCAAGAGAGGGCTTTCTATAGTTATTGTGTAAATGTAAATGGCTACGATCAGTTATAAATTATGATAGAATCCTAATTGATTTCTTTTCTTTTCTTTATACTCATCTACTAAAATGGCCAAAGCTGTAGAGTCTAGTATCAGCCCAAAATAAAAATTGAAATCTCAGTTGATTGCTTCCCTTTTTTCTTGCGGTAAAAAGCAAATTAATCATGCAAAGTTAAATTCTTCCCCTTTTGCGATTCATTGACTTAAATAGATGGCAATCGCAGCCCAGCAAAACCCTTGATCCGGCATAACCCATTTGCTTTCTCTTCACTAATTAGTAAGTAATATTAAGCCCAGGGGAGCCCTTCTCAATTCTAAACTGAAATGTCCAGCCCACAGATTAACATAAAACCAAATCAGCCCAATAAAAGGTTATAGACCACCCAGTTCGTCCATGGTTTATTTTATTTTTTATGCCTGTGGACTATGACGATTTTATAGTCTCAATTCATCGGTATAAATTTATTTACAAAACATTCATATTTATATTGAAGTGACATTAACTTTACACGCGTTACTTTCATACAAATTAATCAATCATATTTATTAATACAGGAATACGATGATTTATTTAATAATGATTAATATTTATTTGAAAATAAGTGCATCCTTTTTATATTGAATGCATTTATATGATCCAAAGTTAGATAGATGTGTACATAGAAAATAATACTAGGGAAGGAGTAGTCCTTCTAGTAAGGCTTCAATTAGTCAACGAATGTCAAAGATCGCTGCCTGGCATAATATAATACCGCACGCCTTGGATCGTTTTTCATAAGCGGAGTCCGAAATAATAAAGCCAACGTTTGAAAGTAGAGCCTACCTCGCAGAGCAAAAGTAGTGTTTATTGTCACGCTACGCGTCAAAGTGAGGCCACGTCTTCCTCCGCCCATCTAGAAGCGAAGACCCCATCAAGTCCTGCCGAAGATGAACCCCACTTGGCTCTCCAGCATACGCTTTTGTTTGACTGCCAAGTCATTTTTGTCCCGTTCTATTGGTTTCAAAAACTGAAAGTCTCTTACACGGCGGAGTTGAATCAGCAATCTCAAGGATTTCAAATTATGTCCATAAATATAGAGCCAACCTTTGCCTTGATAAAACACAACTACATCGTCCAGTTCCTACCGAGTCATAAAGAAACAGAATTCCCTTTAAACCCAAAAGAGATAGAGAGAAGAGCAATCAAAAATGAAAGGAGAAGGACAGCGAAGCAATGCAAAATGCTTGGCATACGTTGCTGCATTTGTTGTGTTTCAGACGGCAATCATCTTGATATTTGCATTAACGGTGATGCGTATCAAAAATCCTAAAGTCAGGTTCGGTGCTGTAACGGTGGAGAATTTCAGCACCGGCAACAGCTCTTCACCTTTCTTTGACATGAGGCTGATGGCTCGAGTGACTGTAAAGAACACAAACTTCGGTCACTTCAAGTACGAGAACAGCAGCATCAGAATCTTATATGGGGGCATGGAGGTCGGGGAGGCAGCTGTTGTTAAGGCTCGTGCGAGGGCTAGGCAGACCAAAAAATTCGACGTTACAATTGATATTAGTTCCAGCAAGTTATCGACCAACTCCAACCTTGGAAATGATATCGCTTCTGGTGTTTTGCCCCTCAGCAGCGAGGCCAAGTTGAGCGGGAAGGTGCATCTGATGAAGGTGATCAAGAAGAAGAAGTCTAGTGAAATGAGCTGCACCATGGGAATCAATTTAGGAACTCGTACCGTACAGGATTTAAAGTGCAAATGACATTGTGAAGCAGTTTATTTAGAAACTTGATGCTTGAGTTTCAGCACTTTTTCTTCTGTTTTTTCGTTTTGGTCAATGCAGTCATGTTACTTTCGCCGACCAGTTCTAATTTTGCACTCTGCCCCAGTTTGTGTTAGAAATAGAAATTGATTCATATTCATATAAGTTTAACCGAGGTTGCAATTAAATTGAGATTTTATTTGTTTCAACATGGGTTTTAATTTCTAAAACTTTCTTCAAGTTATGAGATGTAGACATCCACCTGCTTGAGGTGGTACCGGAGAAAGAAGCAGACTACAGGACATATGCATTTAATCGATATATACTTGTACCATTGAAGCAATATAACAAGCTGCCCTCTAGTAATTAGCATGCTTGCCTATGTAACTAACCTAGGTTGTATGAAGAAAAACCTTCCTTGATTATAACTGAATAAGAAACAATTTCCCCAAAGTTTAATACTTTCAGTGATAAATATATACTTTTCGAGATGTAAAAGCCAACACACATGTTTGAAAAATAATTTTGCTCAAGGCAGATTAACTCGTTTCACCAGTGGACTTGGACCAGAGTCCCTCTGAGGTTTGGTTTTCAGCTTAAAACAAAACTCTTAAGTAATTCCAGTGCTTGGTTTGCTTTGAACCCTACTCTCCAACAATGGGAAATCAAAAACGTCTAGGCAGAACTTGCCCTGCCCTTGGCGTATTACTTGAATTTTCCAAACAAAAATCTCGCTGGTGAGAACTGACAGACAACAAACATTTCCAATAATCAAGAGCTTTGACAAACAAGCATTTGCATGTTTTTTTTACGCATATCCTTTGTGTAAAAAGACTTTTATGTAACTTAATGTGCCTAACAACCAAAAGCTGCATAATTCCACCGGGCTAGTGTCTTTCTTTTGGGTAAAATATCTTCATATCTGGCCAAAAAGTAGGAGGTCATGCTAAGGTCCCCTTCCAAGTTGAATACATGTCTTGGCGGTATAAGGAAATTGCTGGAAAGTTAGTACTATGAATAACTGTTGTAAAAATGTGAATAAATTAATCGAATCCATGTAATTATTACTACAAGTGTACGGAGGTCTAGAATGGCTGGCTGGAGAAAAACATGAAAGTCATCGCTTATCAGCTAGACAAGAACTATTCCTGTTCTCTGGTTAGGGGAAATCTGGAAGGGCTATGTATATTTTCTGTTGTTTAATCCCTTTCCTTGCCTCCAAAGATAAAATAATGGATGGGGAACTATCTTAAATGGCTGGAATGTCACTGGGTAGGAGATTGATGTTTTTGTTTTGGGTAGGGACTAGGGAGAAAGGTGTCTTGACAAACCGATGATGCAGCAGCAACGTGGTCTGATTGGTGTAACCTGTAATTGTCACATCAGTTAAATTGTATGTGTATGATCATGAAATGCTAATTAACTTTTCTATGAAACTATCCATGTAGGTAAAATACCTAAACTTTGTATTAATTTATTACTGTGAGCATCTAGATGATGACCCAGTTCAACCATATAGAAGCTTCAGTCATTATTATATACATATATATATATATATATATATATCATGTTCAAAAGACTTTCAAACACGTTTTGATTTAGTAGTAAAAAATAGTCTTGGACTTTGATGGATGTTTCACATGTTGTTCATTTATACTTTATGGTTACAACATTATAAATAGATTTGTTGCAAGTCTGCGAAATCATACCTTCAACCTTAACCTGCATTCGGGCTTTTGAGCAGATTAATTCCTATAAAACAAGCACGAATCAAGTAAAAATCAAATCATTTTCACCATGAAAGTGAGAAGGGAAGGAAGCAATGCAAAATGCCTAGCATATGTTGCAGCTTTTGTTGTTTCAGACTGCAATAATCTTGCTATTTGCACTGACTGTGATGCGGATCAAAAGTCCTAAAGTCAGGTTCGGTGCTGTAACAGTGGAGAGTTTCAGCACTGTCAATAACAGCTCTCCTTCTTTTGACATGAAATTGATGGCCCAGGTGGCCGTGAAAAACACAAATTTTGGTCACTTTAAGTATGAAAACAGCACTGTCACAATCTTATACGGGGGCATGCCGGTTGGGGAGGCAGCTATTGTCAAGGGTCGTGCAAGGGCCAGGCAAACCAAAAAATTCAACATTAATGTTGATATTAGTTCCAGTAGGTTATCCAGCAATTCAAATCTTGGAAATGACATTAATGCAGGTGTATTGCCATTAAGCAGCCAGGCCAAGTTGAAGGGAAAGGTTCATTTGATGAAGGTGATCAAGAAGAAGAAGTCTGGTGAAATGAGCTGCACCATGGGAATCAATTTGTCAACTCGTGCCGTACAGGATTTGAAGTGCAAATGACATGTCAAGTTGTTTTCTGAGGATTAAATTCTTCAATTTCACCTTTTTCTTAATTTCTCTGTTTTTCTTTTGGTCTATTGGCCACCCGTTTCTGTTATTATACTCTGCTTTACTTGGGGTTTGAAGTAGAGCTTGATTCCTTTACATCTATTTGTAACTGAGATTTCAGATTTGGTCTGTTTCACATGATCTTCCGTGTACATCATGGCCTATATATTGAGCATCCAAATTGCCTGAAGCAAAAGCACCATATTACATTTGAACACATCCGTATCTGCCTAGCCTAGATTGCATACCTTAAAAATGGTTTTGCTGTACAGTTTCACCTAACATTGCTGTCACTTTAGCATCCTTCATATTCAAATCAATTTGATCAAAAGACTGCGCCAACCATGCAGGCTGATTTCATTTGTAGGTGTATTCTCTATAATTATAAAGGTTCCTTTTTTTGACTCTGATTTGGGTTTTGCCTTACAACAGAAGCTGAAATTTTCCTTTGACTTGAACAGTTTGTCCAACTATGGCCTCCATAAAGACTTGTGATTTCAAGTAAATTATGTCCAATTTACATCTCGAAGCTGAGATGAGAATCACCCTCTGACCTAAGGTTTTTGTTTTGCTTTCCATTAGCCATGAAAAACTATTCATAGACAACAGCAATGTGCTCAGACTGGTGTAAGATGTAGTTATCATTCGCTACAAAAATGATAAACATAAGATCGACCAATGACGATAAACCCATTGTAAATTAATATTCAGGAAAGTCAAGTGGTTGACTCAGTCGTCGTACCTTAAAGCTTCTGTTATTATATTACCAGGTTCGAAGACTCTTAAACTGGGTTTAATGTAGTAACTGAAAAATTTATTCTGACTTGATCAAATTTGTAATGAAGTAGTTAGTTGATTCTGAAATATCAATAGCCATTGCTCCTTGTCTGGTAAAAAAGCAACCTAAGTCAACCGAAACTGCTTCCTTCCGTCCATCTGACGATCATTCACAATAAAGGAGACGATTTTGTCATCTTGGTTGCTTTTCAGATCATAATCATCTTGCCTCTCACGAGATCAGATCACAATTGAGATCTTAAAGTCAGGTTTCTCAATGTAGGGGTGGGGGATTAATTTCAGCAACATTGAAGCACTTCACCTTCTTGCAACATGAAATTTTTGGCCCAGGTTAAGACTCTCAAGAGACTTTTGACTTCCATATGATATTTGCTCTTCTGCTTTGCCACTTCCACTATCTTTTGACTTACTAATATCTCCTTTGCTTTTGGCTTTCTTGGCCACAAATGGTTTTCCTTTCAGCTACTTTAATTGATTTTAAAGAAATTAATTTTACTTTCCTGACAAATTGACCGAAAATTTTAAGGAGTTCGGTTCCTGTCCAGAGTGCCTCAGAATCTCCAAAAGCAAGAGAGTTGTCCTCAATTCCATCAACTGGCAGAGAAAAGAGGCAGAATCCCAGAATTAGAGGCTTTTTCTTCACAGTAACACTTCAGTTGTAATGTAACACATCGTCATATGCAATTGAGTTGCTAATGCCCTTTAATTGCATATGAGGATATGTTAGATTACGACCGAAGTATTACTGTGTAGAACAAAAGCCATAAATTCCGGTCTTCGGCCTCTTCTCTCTACCAGTTTGATGGAGCTGCAGACAACTGTCCTGCTTTCAGTGATTATGAGGCCCTCTGGATGGAACTGACCTCCTTATAATTGTCAGTCAATCTGTCAGGAAAGTAATTAAAGCAGCTGCAGCCATAGAGTAAAAGAACCATACATAAACAAGAGAGCCAAAAGAAAAAGAGAGAGAAAGACAGCAATAAGTCAAAAGACAAAGCAAGTGCCAAAACAGCAGACCAAATACATGGAGGTCAAAAGCTTCTTGAAAGTCTTCAAGTATGAGAAAGCAGTCACAATCTTTTACATGGCAGCATGGCAATCTTACAAGGAAGTCTGCTCTGATGTGCAGCACCAAGGAAATAGATTCAGTAGCCCCTGCTGTACAGGATTTGAAGGACGAATACGACATGTCCAGCTGATTATTTCTGCAACTGTGCTAGCTTTTTTTTTGGCCAGAACTGTGTAGTTTTTATATTTACTTGTTCTTTCCGTCTAATTTACTTGAATTTCTTTTTTGTCCTTTTTCCTTTGCTATGATTGTATCTTTGAATTTATTCAGCTATCCGAAGTTGAGATTGTTAAGTAATTAATCAACTAATCAAGTCCTTAATGGCTGCTCTCATTACACTGTTCATAGCTCGGGCTTTTCTCCATGTTTGGCAACATATCACTGATCATTCCTGTTACCATGAATGATTTTTGTTTCATTAATCAGCTATGTGACGAAGCATGAGCCATGTTTTTTAAGACTTTTCTGCTTTTTCCTTGTACTCTCCCAGAGATCTAGATGCATATTGACATTGCTTCCATCCATCCACCTCCTTCCCTTATAATTACATGTAAACAACCATCTTATTTGACCAAAAAACTTCAATGAACTATTGCAGAATAGTTAAATCTGATGATGAGTGGGTTCGGGGGATAGACTAATTCTCCCAATGGTTTATAGTTTTCCATTTGATTTAAAATAATTCAACTAGATTACATCTCAAATCTTATATATATTCTCTATTATGATTAACATAAGGGCATGTTCGGAAAAGGCTGGTAAGCTATTTTTCTCTTATCCTACCGATTTCATTTCACTTGTAAAAATCATTCATTATATAGCATCTCAATAGTATAATGAGAGTAAATCTTGATATATTATAAAACGTATAATATTTTTTAAAAATAAATTATTTTAAAAAATTTAAATAATTTTTTTTATTTTTATTTGTCAAAAATATTATATTATTATTTTAAATTAAATAAATTTTTATAATTAATAATTAAATAATTATTATCAATTAAAATATCATTTATCATTCCGTGTCACATAATATTAATAATGGATGATGATATATCATTTTTTATTATAACAAAATTTAAATTAGTAAGATTTGCATGCATTGGAGGAATGAAATCTAGACCAATATGTAAGAGCAAAGTTGTTTGTTATATGACCAAGATACATGAAGAAAATGCATTTTCCTTATTTTTTTCTGAATTCTGGGAGCTACCAAAACGTAAGTTAATGCTTGATTAGTTGGATCACAAATTTGATCACCCTGGTCAGGAATTTGTAACTCATCAAAGTCATTATATTCTTGAACTCAAACGTATCCTAAGGGGGTCTGGTTCCCTAGCCTAGACAAAGCTATTTTGGTCAGTGTGAAATTCCCCATTGTTTCTTCTAATTTTCCATACTATATATATTAACTTGTCTCTAAAGTCTCTGAAATTGGTAAACTTAAATTAAATAAATTGGTTTGGACTTTTCGGTCTGAAACTTCTTTCTAAGTCTTTGTCAATATCGTACCAGCACCTCAATTCTAATTATCTAAATTGGCTGGCCATGTATATTTTTTCCACACAAGGTACAAAAAAATCATTTCGATGTAACTTCCTCCCATTTTCATGATTCAAAACAAAAAACTTTTGTATTCACCGCTACCTATAAGTATTAATACTATACCACAAGCACAAATCATCCAATCTCACCAAGCTCAAGCTCCTTTTTCATTTCTCCAAACACTCCAGTACTTAGTCGTTCCAACATCATTCGAAGTCACTTTCCTGAAAACAAAAGGAATCCAGCCATGTTGGAATCGGAGAAGTACAAGAGAATGCAGAACATGAAATGTTATGCATATATCATTGCTGGGGTTGTCTTTCAAACCATCATAATCCTTGTTTTCGCTTTAACGGTTATGCGTATCAAGACCCCAAGCGCTAGGCTAAGATCCGTAACGGTCCAGAGTCTCAACTATAATGCTTCAGGAGTCCCTCACTTCAACATGAGATTGATCATGGAAATTGCAGTGAAGAACAAGAATTTTGGTCACTTCAGGTTTGATAACACTACTGCTAACGTTACCTTTGGAAGCGTTATGGTCGGTGATGGTGAGATCGTAAAGAGCCGTGCCCGTGCTAGGAAGACTAAAAGGATGAATGTAACAGTGGATGTAAGCTCAAGTGCGGTTTCTGATGAAGATGGGCTCAGAACCCAGTTGAGCAGTGGGACTTTGACGTTGACTGGAGTTGCCAGGTTGAGAGGGAAGGTGACATTGATGAAGCTGATGAAGAAACGGAAGACCGCAGAGATGAACTGCACTATGACTGTGAATTTGAATAGCCATGCTGTTCAGGATTTGGATTGCGAGTGAAATTTCGGATAGAATTTCTATTTTATGTTTCCTTTTAGTCATCTTTTTTTCTTTTTAAATTCATTTTTTTCTACTTCTGTCTTAGATACAATAATATGGATTGAAATAAAGGAATGAATACCATCCTCTTTTGCTACAAAATTAGTTAATGTACATATAATTTGGAAGTCAATAAAACCATAGGTGCCCTGAAGGCAAACAAACCTGCTCCAAGTTATTGTAGTAGCATCCATGACAGAGAACTAGATTTAAATTTGCAAAAATGAGTGAATCAATGTGCATGTTTGTGTAAAGCAGAGCGTAAGAGAAAGAAATTGAGTTTCTTAAATTATGTGTGTGTATATATATATATATATATATATATATATGTATGTTTATTATTTCAAAATTTAACTTGACAAAAATTAAGATATGATATCGAAATGATTGGTTAAGTTAAAAAGGGTTTCAATATCATGTTAAAAAATTATTTAATTAAAAAAAATTTACATAATCTAAAATATTAGAGTTATTTTAATTAATGATTTTAGATCCAAGGTTCGACTTATCTCTTTTTTTTTTTGGGGGGGGTAGTTAGTTTCAAGTTAGGTGTGTGGCAAGGACCATAACATTATATGAATTAATTTAGTTCATGAAATAAAATAATGTTTTTTGACATTATAATTATTGACCGTTATAATTGTAGAAGTTTTTTTTTTCCTTTTGTTTAATTAGAGATAGATGTATGCCGCTTTATTTCTAATAGACATCTTGCAAACCGGGGTTTCAAACAGACTCTAATCCCCACCATTCCAACCATCCATAGGACCCGTGAACACGGTTTGTGACTGTGACCCGACAATCAGGTTTACTCTCTTTGGAAGGGTAGAGGA